ACTTAGTGTCCAACAGAAGAGAGTTCCCTCCTTCTGGCAAAAGTCAATCAAACTGTGTTGCTAGGCGCAACTGTGGCAGATCAAAATCATCACCCAAAATGAGAGATGTATTTTCAGCCCAGATGGCAAAGAACACAGTGAACCGGAAAACCTTAAAGACCGAGCGCAAAAGAAAATTGAACCGACTTCCAGCTGTGACTCTTCAGGCCACACCGAAGGGAGACAAAGAGAGTGGAGGCTCAGTGAATGGCCCATCAAGGGGTGGGGCAGCAGATCCTCCTAAAGAAGAACCTCTTCAATTAATGGGCCATTTAGCAAGTGAAAATGCTCATTTTTCTAATGTACATTTTGATAACAAAGTTAAGCAGTCTGACCCCGATAAAATTTCTGAAAAAGGACCCACTTTTGAGAACAGTAAAAGTGGGGAGCTGGACTCTGAAATGAACAGTGAGAATGATGAACCCAGTACTGGTGTAAGTCAAGTAGTGCCTAAAAAGCGGTGGCAGCGTGTAAACCAAAGGCGTGCTAAACCTGGAAAGCGCACTAATAGGTTTAGGGAAAAGGAAAACTCTGAAGGTGCCTTTGGGGTCTTACTTCCTGGAGACCGTATAGAGAAAGGCCTGGATGATTTCCCAGAGCATAGAACTCCTCCTACAAACATACTAGAGGATTCACTAACAGCTCCAAATCATGCCAGCCACTTAGATTCAGTTGGACCACGGTTGAATATTTGTGATAAATCCAGTACCAGCATGGAGGTTATGGAAAAAGAACCAGGAATTCCCAATTTGACACCACAGGCTGAACTCCCTGAGCCAGGTAAGGATTTTGGATTATCTTAAAAAGGGGTTGGAGAATGTGCTGATAATGTTGCCCTTCTAAAGTTGATCTATTTTATTTTATTTTATTTTATTTTTTATTTTTATTTTTATTTTTGGTACTGGGGATCGAACTCGGATCCTTGCTCTTGTGAGGCAGGCGCTGGAAGCACTGAGCTAAATCCCCAGCCCAAAGTTGATCTATTTTAATAGAAAGATAAGGAAAGATAAACTGGGAGAGGCAGATTTATCATTTGTTTATGTAGGAGGGCCTGAAATTTGAAGATGGGATTTTCTTATATTTTCAGAGATTAGGTTTTACCAGAAGCCTTAAAAAAAAAAATTCTTCCTTTAGTGTCTCAGCAACTTTTTTTGTGTGGCGGGGGAGTACCTGGGGCCTCACACATGCTAGGGCAAGTGCTATACTACTGAGCTATGTTCACAGCTCCCAACAGCAATTTTGCTACCTTTTCTTACCATTTTATTTATTTATTCATATTTTTTTTTGGTATCCGGAATTGAACTCAGGACCTTGTGCTTGCCAGCCAGGCTTGGCACTGCTGAGCTACATCCCAGCCCATGTTTTGTTTTTTGAGACAAGGTCTAACTATAGTTCATGCTCCCATGAACTCAGTGTGTAGCCCAGGCTGGCCCCAAACTGTTGGCAGTCTTCCTGCCTCAGCCTCCTGAGTGCTGGGATTTACAGTCATGAGCCACCATGCCTGACTTCCATGCTATTTTCCGTAGTTGCTGCATCATTTTACAATCCCACATAACGATTCTCATTTCTTCTCATCCTTGTCAATCAGCACTTATATTTTGTTTCTTTGGTAGTCATACTAATATATATAAGTGGTATCCCATTATGATTTTGATTTTGATTTCAAACCAAATGATTAGTGATATTAAAAATCTTTTCAAGGGTTTACTAGCCATTGGTGGATCTTTAGAGAAATGTTTATTCAACTGGGGATGGTGGTGCACTCCTGCAGTCCCAGCACTGGGAAAGCTGAGGCAGGAGGAGTGCCATGAAAGAGTTCAGGATCAGCGTGGGCTACACAGTGAGCTCAGCTTGAACTGCTGAATAAAAGCCTGTCTCAGGAGGAAAAAAAGGCTTATTTAGGTCCTTTGCATGCTTTTAAATCTGATTTTACTATTTTTTGAGTTGTGGCAGTTCTTCATATATTCTAGATATTAACCACTTAATAGCAGATATATTACTTATAAATATTTCCTCCCATTCTGTAGGTTGCCTTTTTACTCTGTTGATTGCTATGTTGCATAGAACTTTTAAAGTCTAAAATAGCTGGTGGTGTATACCTGTACTTCAGCACTGAGGGAAACTGAGAAAGGAGAATCACAAGATCGAGTCTGAGCAACCTAATGAGACTCCCTCAAAAAAGAAAAGAAGGAATGTTACCTCAGTCCTCCCTGGGTTCAATCCCTAGTGCTACTAAAAGAAAAAGGTCTAATGTAGAAAAGGTCTAATTTATTTTTGTTTTTGTTACTAGGATTTGTTTTGCTTTGTTTGAGATAGGGTCTCACTATGCAGTGCATGCTGGCCTTGAAAAATCCTCTTGGCTCAGCCTCCCCCATGCTGAGATATTATGTGTTTATGCCTCCATGCCTGGCCTCTCCCTCTACCTCTTGTTCCTCTTCCATTGGAAAAACAGCTCCTTATTTCCTAATATCTTTTATTTTACTCTTTATTTATACTTTAGGTTTCTCACATAAGGGAAACTACAATATTTAACCTTGTATGTCTGATTTATTTCACTTAAAATTACAATCTCAAGATTTTATCCTTTTTTATGGAGGAGTAGTACTACATTGTATATGAATATCATATTTTCTCCATCCATTTTTCTGTTGAAGGTCATACAGGCTGTTTCCAAGAGTTAGCTATTAGAAATTGTGCTGCTATGAACGTGGGTATGCATGTATCACTGTAATATGATAACTTTTTTTTTGTATGGGGATCAAACTTGGGACCTTGCGCTTGCGAAATATGACTTTTAACTCAGGAAGATAACTAAAAGGAAGATAACTGGGTCAAATGAAATTTCTAGTTTTAGTTTTTTGAGAAATCTCTATACTGATTTTCATTGTTACTAGTATTTTTGCCCTTATGGCCATTGCAGTCCGTGTCCATTGCAATGTAATGAAGTTTTTCCTTTTTTTTTTTTTTTTCTCAGATCATGTCACTATGTAGTTCAGGCTGGCCTGGAACAGTAGTCCTCCTGCCTCAGCCTCCCAAATACTGGGATTGCAGGTGTGCAACACCATGCCTGGTCCCTTTTTTCTTGCTGTTGAGACAGGGTCTTACAGTGTAATTCAGACTGATCTTTATCTCACTGTGTAGCCCAGTCTGGCCTCTAATTTACGGCAATCTTCTGTATCAGTCTCCCCAGTGGGAGTGCTGGGATTATAGGCATGCACTACCACACCTAGGGTACAATCTTTTTCAAGTTGTTATATGTATAAAAATTCTACTCCTTTACACTTCCCTCTCCCACTTTGTTATTGATGTGACAAATCGTATCTTTATATACATATTATATATTCATTAACAGTTTTATGTCTGTAGTTATTTTTATATCTTTGTTAAATTCTGTACCAGAATTTGGAGTGCTTTATGCACCTTTACAATATTCAGTATTTTAACTTTTAACAGCAAGTTTTTAAGTTTTCTGTGCTTTCTGTTACTGTCTAGTATCTTTTTGTTTCAACTTATAAGATTCCTTTTTAACATACTAAGACAGGTCTAATGATGAACTCAGCTTTTGTTTGTCTAGGAAATTCTATTTTCTGTCAGTTTTGAAGGGCAGTTTTGCTGAATGTACTATTCCTAGTTGGCAGTTTTTCTTTCAGCACTTTGAATATATTTTTCTAATCCATTCTGGCATGTAAAATCTATGACAAGCAATCTTATACTCTAATGTGAGCTCCCTTGTATGTAATGAATTGTTTTTCTTGGTGTTTTCAAGATTCTCTTTTCCAAATACTGTACAGTGAAGATTCTTTTGTTTTATTTTTTGACAGTTTAATTATTATGTTACTCAGTATTCTTTGAGTTCATTCTGGCTGGAGTATTTTGAGCTTTGATTTTGATGTCCTTTTCTTTCCTAGATTTGATAAGTCCTAGGTTATTATTTCTTCAGTTAAGCTTTCAATCACTTTTGTGACAAGTATAGTATGTGCTATAGTGGTCCAATTGCTAGTGTCTTCTTTTACTTTTTTTTTTTTGAGGCAGGATTTTGCTGTGTAGTTCAGAGTGGCCTTAAATTCATTATGTAGGGAGCAGCGACCCAGACTTTTGGGTTGCTCAGAACTTGTCAGGCACGGGAAAGGGCGAGAGGACACAGTGTCCCCGTTAAAAAGAAGGCTGGCGGTGGCGCCGCCGCCGAGGAAAACCCCTCTTCTGCCGAGGCCGCGGAATGGGCCTAGCGCAGGCGGGGGCAGCCTTCTCGGACCTTGGCCCCACGCAGTCCTCTTTCCTGAACTACTGAACCCTAGTGAGCGTGGCCCAGGTCTGGCTTCCGAGACAGGCTCGCTGGCTGGAGGTCGGTGCTCCAGACACCTGCGCGCAGGGGCAGGGGCTGCAGGAGCCCAGGCGCACGACCGCGAATCGCGAGCGCTAGCCTCCGCCGAGCAGGGTGCATATCCGGGGTGCCTGCACCCTAGGGTGAGTAGAGCACCTTCATTGCTAGGGCGCTGGGAGCCGTAGAGGTTCTGTAGGGCAGAAGAAAGTGACCCTTGAAAGAGTTAAGCGTTAGGTGTTCACGGGAAAACAGACTGAGATGAGGCGGGACCGTAATGATAGAGGCAGGGAGACTTGTGAGAAGGCTTCTTACAGAACCTAACACCAAGAGGGTTTCAGTGACTCAATCACAGCAGTGGCTGGAGGATCTGGAAGTGGAGAAACTAATAGATTCTGGGGGGTAGAGTTTTAAAGCTAGAACCAACAAGGTTTCCTGCTGATTCAGATGTGCTTGTGAACATAGGGTGTGAGACGCTAACCAAGTGTCTCTCTTTCTGAACATCTGAAAGAATGAAAATCGGTTAGTGAGAGCAGGGACTATCTTTCAAGAGAATCAGAAATTAGGTTTGAGGCATTTGACTATAAGGTTTTGCTCAGTGGAGGCAGCACATGGGCAACTGGACACTGAGGTCTGGAGTCCCGAGGAGAAAGTTGTGCCAGAGATCTCACAGATCCTTTGTGGTTGCTGAACTGTTGTAAGGGGGAGAACCCTGGGTGCCTGACTGAGAGGGCATGACTCTAACCACAGCAGGAGGGGGTTGGACGGACCCTGGTTGTTGGAATGCAGTGAAGGATGAAGAGGCATCTGCTGAGGAGAGCATTTCTGTAGCAGTGTTACCTTTTAGTATTTCTAAGGCAGGTTTGTCCACCCAGGCGGCTCAGTCTCGTGATATATGTGGCCCAATCTTGAAAGATATTTTGTACTTGGACGAACACCAGAGAACATACCACAGACCTAACACTTACACATGTAAAACCTGTGGGAGACAGTTCTGGTTCAGTGCAAACTTTCACCCAAATCTAAAGCATTACATTGTAGAGAAACCTTCACAAAGAGATGAAGGCAAAGTCTTATTGGTGAAGAAGAACTGGATAGTTTGTGAAGAAGAACCTCATTTGTCAGAGAAGCCCTTTATGTGCGAAGTACAGCAGAAAAACTTCCAGACCAGTTTGGGTGATCACCAGCAAAAGGTCACCCATAGGAAGAGGAAGGTGGCCAGGAGCACTGAGAGTAGGGAGGCCTTTCATGTTGGGCAAATGCATTACAAGTGCAGTGAATGTGGAAAAGCTTTTAGCCGCAAAGATACACTTGCCCAGCACCAGAAAATCCATAGTGGAGAAAAGCCTTATGAGTGCAGTGACTGTGGGAAAGCCTTCAGCTGCAAAGCTACACTTGTCCGACACCAGAGGATCCATACTGGAGAAAAGCCTTATGAATGCAGTGAATGTGGAAAAGCTTTTAGTCGAAAAGACAACCTTACTCAACACAAGCGGATCCACACTGGAGAAATGCCTTACAAGTGTGGTGAATGTGGGAAATACTTTAGCCATCACTCCAATTTAATTGTACACCAGAGAGTTCACAATGGAGCAAGGCCTTATAAATGCAATGATTGTGGGAAAGTCTTCAGACAGAAATCCACACTTGCTCAACATGAGAGTATACACACTGGAGAAAATCCTTATGATTGCAGTGATTGTGGGAAATCCTTTGGCCACAAATATACCCTTATTAAGCATCAGAGAATTCACACAGAGTCAAAGCCTTTTAAATGCACAGATTGTGGAAAATTCTTTAGTCGAAGCTCTGACTTTATTGCCCACCAGAGGGTTCACACTGTTGAAAGGCCTTTTGTGTGCAGCAAATGTGGGAAAGACTTCATCAGAACCTCCCACCTTGTTCGGCACCAGAAGGTTCACACTGGAGAAAGGCCATATGAGTGCAGTGAATGTGGGAAAGCCTACAGCTTAAGCTCCCACCTCATTTGGCACCAGAAAATTCATGCTGCAGGTAGATTTTAGGGGAGCTTTTAATATACTAGGATTCATCAGATATTAAACTTGAACATGTCTTATGAATACCAAGTATATGGGACACTTCAAATACTATTTTGCACATTCTGACCTCAAAATTTCCAAAGTTAGTCACTGTCAATACCTATGGCTGAAACCGTCTCAACTTCTCCAGCTTAGTAACTATAAACCATCCCCAGGGAAGGCAGGCATTTGCACACTTTATCCAATCTCTAGTGAATTGTGAGACACCTGAAGTTAGCAGAGGTCCTTATTTTCTTTTGACTGATATTTTAGGTAAGAACTCCTTAGTCAAGAGGACTTGAGCTATGTTCTGGTAACTTACCGAAAATGTCTTTTGTTTGTGGACCTTATTCTTAATGATGTTATTTGTTTGTTTGTTTGTTTGTTTGAGACGGTCTTGCTCTTTTACCTAGGCAGGCCTTGAACTCTTTGGCTTAGTTGATCCTTGGCTTTAGATCCCATAATAGGTGGGATTTCAGACATGTGCCACTGTGCCTGGCTCTTACCTGAAATTTGTAATGAATGGACTTTTCTTGTCTCTAAGTCACCTGGCCAGGAAAGTATCTGTTTCATGTTGTTCTGATTTGTAATAATAAAGTCTTTATAATTTAAAAATAAATAAATAAATAAATAAATTCATCTTGTAGCCCAGGTTGGCCTCAAACTTGCGGTGTTCCTCCTGCCTGAGCCTCCTGAGTGTTGGGATTATAAGCATGTGCCACCAGGCCTGGCTGATGGTGTCTTATGGATCCTTATGTTCTCTCTCTCTTTTTTTTTTCTTTTGATCCTTTGATTCCGTAACCTCAGATTACCTGAGTTGAGTTTGTGGATTTTTTTCTGCTCAATTGAGTGTGCTGTTGAATTCCTCTAGTAAATTTTTCAATTCATTTGTACCTTTCAGTTTCAGAATTTCTGTTTGGTTCTTTATTGTAATTTCTGGGTGTTTGTTTTTTTTTTCCTTGAGACAGGGTCTTGCTGTGTAGTTCAAGCTTTGGCCTATATGTAGCCCCAGCTGCAGCCATTCTAGTCCTGGGGTTATAGATGTGTGCCACCATGCCTGGCTGAGGTTTTCATTTTGTTCATGCATTGTTTTCTCTGTTCATTTAGTTATGTATTTGTGCTGTCTTGTAGATCATTCAGTTTCTTTAACTATTAATAGCTGGATGTGCTGGCACATACCTGTAATCCCAGCACCCTGAGAAGCTGTGGCCGGAAAAAATCAGGTTCAAGCTCAGCCTAGGCAGTTTAGTGACTTAGCATGACCCTATCTCAAAATGAAAAACAAAAAGAGCTGGGGATATAGCTTAGTGTAGGCCCTAGGTTCAATCCCCAATACCATAAACATTTTTAAAAAGGGGTTAAGGTCAGGCTAAGTTCTTCAAGCTGGGTTTGTACTTTTGATCTTCCTGCCTCAACCTCCCAGATTGCTAGGATTACAGGTGTGTACCACCACAATTGACTACTTGGTAGATTCTTAAGAAATGCTTTGCTAGACTCAATTGTGCTTTCCTAATTTATTTACTTTTGTAGGAGAACTTTTCAGTATCGCTCTTCGGGGCCACATAGTTGACTTTTTCTTGAAATACTAAGTGTGTGCTAGACTGGGAGAGAATTATTTGATAAGGAGACTTACCCTTTTGTTTTCAAGTGTAGATTTTCACCTCCGATGTCTCAATTTAGTTTAAGGTCATAGAATTTGTCCTCTTCTTTTTTCTCTCTAGTCTTACTTTTTATTACTTCTATTTCCAGTCTCCTCTAATAGGCACCAAAATTCAGAGCAAATTATTCTTGTTCCAGGGCATTATTGTTCAAAAGTAGGATGACCTGTAAAATGATGATTGGTTTCAGTGAAGTAAGGTAAGCTCAGATTGTTGTTGTTGTTGTTGTTGTTGTTTTGTTTTGTGAGATGGGATCATGCATTCCATTTTGGCCTTGAACTCACTACTGGTATGTAGCCTATGCTGGCTTGGAACTCACAGCAGTCCTGCCTCAGCTTCTTGAGTGTTGAGGTTACAGGTATATGCTACCACGCCTGGCTTAAACTCAGATTTAAAAATTCTTTTTACTTATTTTTGGTTTTTTAAGACAGGGTCTCACTACGTAGTTCAGGCTGACCTTGAACACACTATTTACCCCAGCCTTACTTCTAACATGCAATGTAACTTTTTTTTTTATTTTTTTTTTCTTTTTTTTTTTTTTTTTTTTTTGGTACCGGGGGTTCGAACTCGGGTCCTTGCGCTTGCATAGCAGGCGTTGAAACCACTGAGCTAAATCCCCGGCAGTGATTCTTTGATACTGTTGAAATGTTCTTATACTTTATGAGGGCTTAGAATGAAACTTGGTTTCTTCAAAAAGGATTTCAGTTTGCTTTTGTTACATGCCCAGAGGATTGAGATTTCCTTTCTGCCAACCTGAAAATCTACAGGAGGGCCAGCCTATGACCATAGCGTTTTATGTACTTGCTCTCTGTACCTCTCACCCTGCACTTTCCCAAGGGTTCTTTCTCTGTGGTCTCCTAGAGGTGGAGATGGCATGCTTCTGCTTCATCATTACCTGAGAATGGACCTTACTGGGGCCCCAGTTAGTTTCCTTTAAACTTTTATTCCCTTCATATGAACAGGATTACCCCAAGGCCCTTAGGACAAAAAATCAGTTTCAGTGCTGTACTTCCTACTTTACCTTAGTTTTAGGTTTGTACATAGTTCTTTATTTGTTAATGCTTTGATTCTTTTCAGGCGACTTGTAAAACCTTCTGTTTTCAGCAGGAGATTTGAGCTGAGTAAGCTTGCCATTGTTAGGAAGGGTTCTTTGAGTTTTTCCTTTTTATTGTTGTTATTGTTGTTGTTATTATTACTTTGTTTTGTATTGAGACACGGGATAAAGTCCTGGGTCTGTGCTAGAAGTAGAGTATGTTTGCTGAGGACCTCAGTGGTAGTTTGCTTTGGCTCTTGTTCTGTTTTGTGTTTGTTGGGCATCCATTTTTGAGGCTTGCATGATTTATAACTCTTGCCATTCATTGCTTTTGTAATTTTTGCTTTTAGTCTTCAAAAGGTCACATTCATTCCTCTCTTTTTCCATACTTATTCTTTATCTTAGCTTGCCAAATCACTTTTTTTTTTTTGATACCGGGGATCAAACTCGGGTCCTTGGGCTTGGGAGGCAGGCAGCAAAACCACTGAGCTAAATTCCCGGCCTCCAAATCACTTTCTTTTGGCTTCATTTTGCGCATTTGTAGTAGGAGGAGTTGGATTAGGTAAATTCTCCATATTCTTCCAACTCCCAACTCAAAAGTGTTTTGACTGGGTGAGTAGTCCAGTTATGGGGAAAACGTAGGTGGGGAGTTGTGCCAGAGGTAGTAGAAAAGGGGAAGAAAGAAAGGAACTTAAGGAAGCATCTTCTGGTTTTAAGTCATTTCAATTGTGATTTGGCTGTTTTCATTATAGTTTTACTCTGTTGTTCATTTAAGGAAAGTGCTATTTTTGTAAAGGGCCAGATAGTAAATATTTTAGGTTATATGAGCCATAGGCCTCTGTCACAGCTTAATTCTGCCTTTGTAGCACAAAAGCCATAGACTATATGTAAATAAATTAAGTGTAACTGTATTCCAATAAAACATTATCTACAAAAAAGTCCTATTGGTAGTTTGCCAAACTGTCTTGGTTATACTATCTTGTACTTGGACAAAATACCCGCAACCCAAAGTTAAAGGAGGAAAGGTTTATTTCAGCTCAGTTTGCAGAGGTTTCTGTCCATAATTGGTTGGTTTCAAGGCAGGGTGGCATGGGAGAGGGGCATTGCGAAGGAGAAAGGGTCCATGGCATGGCAGAAGACAGCAAAGCAGCAGCAGCAAGCCTCTCTTTCCGCTTTATCTCATCCAAGCAACAAGCCTTTTGGGTGGTGCCACCCACACCCAGGTTGGGCCTTCCCACTACCTAAACCCAGAACTATGCTAAACCAATAGCAGACTGATTTAAGTCATCGCACCCTTAATCCACATTTACACACCCTAGATCTGGCCACCTCTGAAAAGCCCTGCCTATGAAAGCCTATGAGGTTTTGAGGAGAACGTCTGAATATAAGCTGTAACACAATACCCTAAAATTTTAAAGGATTATTCTATATACTCTTGGTGGGGAGGAATGAATGTGACTGTCCAGGAACCTAAAAGATGTCAGATACAGATTTTCTCACTTTAATTTGTAGTCTTTTGTACTCAGCTGGATTCCTTGATGACCACAAGGAAGTAGAGAGATAAGAGGACTGAAGCCTGTCTATGAGACAGGCAAACACCAAAAGTGGGAACCTCAAGAGGAAAGAGAACAAGATCACCTATGGAACCTGCCAAGAATACAAAGGAGTGACTAGGACTGATGTTATGGCAAAGGGCTTTTGGGATGTGTGCTCTATGCACTACATAGAGTCCTGTTTTATTTAAAAGAACCCAAGGACTTTTAACAGATTTTTGATTGGAGTTATGGCCTTGACATCTTGATAATTTTCTAACTTCAATGGGCAAGGCACTTTCCATTTTTGAAGCTCAGTAACATTATAAACGAGGGATATCATTACCAACTTGGCATGTCAAAGTAAGGATTAGAAGGCCGGGGATGTAGCTCAGTGGCACTGCCTGGCCTAAGTGCAAAGTCCTGAGTTTGAGGGGAGAGGGACCGAAAAAACGAAGTGAGGATTAGAGATTCTTTTTTTTTTTTGATTAGAGGTTCTTGAATGTTAAGTGGCTAACCATTGGCATGGTACATTATAAATCTCCGCTGGGGATTTAGCTCAGTGGTTTCACCACCTGCTGTGCAAGCTCAAGGACCCGAGTTCGATCCCCAGTACCAAAAAAAAAAAATCTCCATTACGTCATAAAATCTCCATTATGTCATGTCATTTCCTTGGGGGTTTTGTTTTTCCTGTTAAAAATGTTACTGTTGTTTGAAAGCTTGTATGGAATGTCTGGTAGGGTCTTATTAAAACAATCTACTTGGCTTAGAGCATAAAATAATTGCCATTAACTGACATAGGTATATAATATTTATTGTAAGATAGGTTTTGGCTGGCTGGCTTTTCCTTCTCTCCCTCCCTCCCTTCCTCCCTTCCTTCCTTCTGTTTTTTTTTTGAGACAGTGCCTCCCTATTAGTTCAGGCTGGCCTTGAACTCACTATGTAACCCAGACTGGCCTTGAACTCACAGTGATCCTTTACCTCAGCCTCCCCAGTGCTGGGATTACAGGTGTGCACCACCACACCCAACATGGTTTATTTTTTACCCAGACAAGTTTTTCTGATGTTATTATTTGGGGGAAATAATTGCTTGGGAAAAGCTACTTTGGGTCATCTAACGTGGAAAAGTTAGGAATATTTCATTGATGTTTATGTTTGAACTAGTCCTGTAATTATATGGGGAGTGATGTAGGTAAACAACTTTAATCATTGTTTCTGACTTTTTATTTATTTATTTACTGCTATGACATCGCAGCAGTTGGGATTAGTTAAAAAAAAAACAAACTCTTCCACATCTTGCCCTGATGAAAAGTTTTATGGCTTATTTCCATACGTGCTGTCTAAGAAACAAAAGCTTTTGTGAATCTTATTATGCCTGTGACTT